AAAGATGAGCAGTGATTCATCAGTAGAATGTGACATTGCACATTTTTTTCAGATTTTTTTTGTTTCCATGAGTAGAAACCAAATCACACTACAAAATGATCGGCAGATTCTGGGATCAGGAAACTGAAACAGGCTGTGTATAAACCAGCATGTCCCTGTGGACGACCCCAGGCCACACATGGTTGTTGAACCCTCTGAGCTACTGAGCTGCCACAGGGCAACACACCACAGAGGAAAGACCAATGACAATACGTCACTTTGTCACATGACTTTCAGGAAACGAAGGAACCTTTTTTTATTTGCAACTTTTTTTAAAGGAAACAGCTTCCTCCACAAAAAGCGTATAAAAAATGTTGGACTTTTTCATCATCTGAACAAGTCTACAATTACGCTATGAAACTGTTTAGCAATTTATTCACTCATTAAACAATTGCAATTTTCCTGAGGCAACAATGTACAATTATGGAAAATCACAAATATTGCCTTTAGGTATCAACATTTAAATAAACAAATATACTTTTCAATTTTTATTTACTTATGCACCATTTTGGTACAATATTACTTTCAGGCAAAAGACAGTTAAATCAGTCAAAAAATCCTTAAAATTTTTTTATTATTATTTGAAGTATTTTAAGACATAAAACAAGAAGTTGCTCACATTTCTCCAGCTCGGCGTTATCCTTTTTCCCGTCCACCTCATCTATATTGGAGGCCTGTTCAAATACCTTGAACAGCAAATTCCCCTGCTCCACCTGCAGAGCGCCAGACAAAACCTGGAAAGCATCGTTGAGACGCTCGTTCACGCTGTTGAACTCTTCACCGTGGCTGCCGGATTTCAAGATGCGCTCCACCCACTTTGATAGCGTGTACTTCTTGATGAGTTGCTCTGCTGATCTTAGCGTGACACACAGTTCTTTAAGGGCTTTTTCTACATCTGTTTGGATCGTCTTCCTCTCTCTGATGGAATTCACCAGCTCCTCAAGAGCTTGGACACGACTACACACACGTCGGCAGCGGTTTTTGTTGGCTTTCACATTCTCAACAAGAGTGTAGATTTGTGAGGCAATAGACAGGATGGGCTCTATACAATCCATGGCCGTCTGGAGAGACAGAAAAAATGTCAACGATTGCGATTAATCACAAATAATCATGATTAATTGAGATACGTAAATCAACATTCCTGTATTAGAATGGGAAATAAAATCAGTATATGGCTGGAAAGCTGGATGAATGAAGTGACAATGAAGCCTCTACAAACTGGCTAAAATGCTGGCCGCTGAGATGGTACTGGAAGTTCTTTTTCCCACAACATACTGACGGAATTTGGTTTAAAAAAATCTAACTTTGACTTCAGACCTCCTCAGACCTTATCCAGGGGTGTTCAATCGAATGTCATTTTGATTTAATTCATGATAAGCTTTTTGTTCCATTTTTCTAGAAACACATTCCAATTCAAAACAGTTGTTGAAGGAACTGAAAGGCCAATGACATTTCTTAGAGCCTGTCCTGAAACATTGCAAGTTCCTCCGCTCCCCCCATTTCTTTGGAGATTATTGGAGAAAATGTTGATCAGATTTAAACCATTGTTTTTAACCTCTTCCTCCTCATATCTGCTAATAGCTACAGTAACCAGATATCTGATCAGTGCATACAGTTGCTGCGAGATTCAACATTCCCAACACCACTTCAGTGCCATCTGTAGCAGTAAAGTGTCAAAATGTGCAAAAAAACCCAACTGGAATACTGTCTGACAAAAGGCACTCCGCCCTCTGGTAAGAGCAAACCTCCATGTTGGAACGTGCAGTGAAAATCACACACTCACTGCTAACAACTTCTCAGTGTGTGTTTTCACTTACTTCCTCTTTTGTAAAACCACAAACAAACTTTACAATGTACCGGTTTTTAACTGTGATTCAGCTTTATGACAGAGGCTTAAATGATCTTAAGAAATCAACCAAAAACAATAAGATCTGTTACCTTGAGGTGGACGTCAGTAGAAGTTCCCTCGCAGCCTTATAATGTGTGCAGTACCTTTGAAAGCAGGATAAAAATGAAACCCTACCTTCTTGACGTCGTGCTTCTTTTGACTTCCTGTTCCTCTGTGATGACTGCCATCCCACACCCTCCCCTTGGGTTTTGCTGATGGTCATTTTGTTTGACACTCCCAGGATTTATTTACCTTGGTCCTGAGGCAAAATCACTATTCACTGCACGGTGAGGTGCAGTGCAAATGAACACTGGATGTTTACGGCTGTACTGATTGTGTGTCACCTGAGACTGTCGGGGTCAAAGGTGTCACTTTTCATGGATTTTTGTTAATTTGTTCTGGAATCAGATCCTACATGTCAACAGCCACAACAGCCTATTTAAATCACCAAAGATCAATCACAACACAATAATTGAACAGCACACTGAAAACTTAATGTATTATAATATATGCCTTGATGACATTACTGTAGTTTATCTGATCCCCTTTCAGGGACCACCACAATAGAAAGGAAAAAACGTTTAGAATTCATTGCCCAGATAATCTGAGGGAAACACAGGTCCTTGACAAAGGTTCTTAGCTAAACATGATAACTGGTTGTTTTGTACTTGTTATGATATTTTGAGCAACTTAGGAGGTGATAATCAACTGTCTTCATATGTTTGCTTTGTAAATCAATCAGTGTTGAAATAGTTATTGATGGTAACCAATGACCTCAGACAAATGGATTTCTTAGTTTCCTAAAACAGAACAGGTGCTTACAAGTAATAACATAAGGAAGAAAACACCTTGTATTGTTATTTACACAGTTAGCTAAAAAGCATGAAACTGGAATTTGTAATACTATACACACCATTGCAAAATTGACAAGTTTATATATGATATCTGGATAAAATAAAGCAAAGTTACGTTTTCTCCAGTACAAGGATTGTTCGCACTCTTTGTTTGTTGTGATTTAATTAAAGAGTTTTTTGACAGTGCTGCATACAGAGGGTCCATTTTGTTGTTGGACAGATATAATGGTAACAGGTCTGGTGACAGGCATTGAGGATGTGGGGGCTAAGGTGGGGGAAACCAGTAGAGAGGGTGGAACACTTTGAGCAAAAGGCATTGGATGTATTGGGTGGGACATGTGTACGGATGAAATGCAGGGTCCAGGCGCAGCAGCATAACGGAATGACGGTGGCAGGGGAGTCCTGAAGACAGTTGTAGTAACTGTGGGTGGATACACTGGCATAGGCCGAGGGGGAGGGGCCATAGGATAAGGCATACGGAAAGGCATTGGAGCTGCAGGCATGGGAAGAGGCATCTGAGCAAAAGGTGTAGGGGGAGCTGTTGGAGATGTAGGCGTAGGAGGAGGCACAAGGGCTGAAGAACTCACAGAAGTCTGCCTAGACAGAGATTTATGAACCTCAAACAGAATGTGACCCTGTTCAATGTGCAGAGCCCCAGACAGAGCCTGCAGGTTTTCAGTGAGTCTTCCATTCACCTTGCAAAACTGCTCTTCGTGTGTTTTGGACAAGACAAAACTCTTGAGGTTGTTAGTTTGGGAGAATATCGTGATCAGATCCTTGGCAGAAATCAGAGAATACCAGAGTTCATTTAGAGATTTGCAGACGATGTTGGAGATTTGGTCAGGGCCTCTTTGTTTGATGGTCAAAACCATTTCTTCCAGGAGTCTAATTCGCTGAGCAATCCGCTGGCAGCGTTCCTTGTTGGCCTTTGTGGTCTCAATCTTTTCAACCAGCGTGATAATGACAGAGATGGCAGTACAGATAGGATCGATCAGGTCCATGGTGAGCTGTGAGTGGTGGAGACAGTTTTAAAACATTGACGACAAACATTTCCATGGTCAAGTCTAGCCCCCTACAGGCCAGCAGGGGACGCTAAGAAGTGTCTGAATATCCTGTTCCATAAATTTTGTGTGATGTTTAGTTGGAAAATGAAGCATTTCACTTAATTGGTGTGAAAAAATATTATTTATGTCTTGCAAATAATATTTCCTTTTCTTTCGTCGAGGCATAAAAGTCAATTATATGGTGTGATGTTTAGTTGGGGGGTAAATTATTTATTATCTGTTTATTAGCTCACTGATTCTCAACCACTGTGCCATGAGGGGTCATTAGGTGTGCCCCGGAAAATGAAGCATTTCACTTAATTGGTATGATGTTTAGTTGGAAAATGAAGCATTTCACTTAATTGGTGTGAAAAAATATTATTTATGTCTTGCAAATAATATTTCCTTTTCTTTCGTCGAGGCATAAAAGTCAATTATATGGTCATTTAACCTAGAAGATTATTTCATTTTATTACATATACTTTTTGTGAGATCTTTGTTTGGTGGTGTGCCGTGGCTTAAAAAAAAGTTGGGTCTGATAACAGCACAAAAACTACACTTGAACCACAGACTGAATAAATCAACACGTTGTACATGATAAAAGCAGCATTTTACCATGTTCAAATACAATGTTTTGGATTTAATATATAATGTAGATAAAAAGTTAAAACGTTAAAGGCAGAGACCTACCTGTCAGTGGATGGTAATCAGAAGCCGAGTGGAGCCGATACAGAAAGCAAAAATATTTGAATACTTTTTTATCACAGGCATCGTTGATGCTGTGGAACCTGTTCTTATTTGCAGTAACTCAGTCCATGCATTCAAAGAAAGGCAAGGAGGGAGCAGGAAGAGGCTGCCCCTGCTGAGGAAGTCTTAAGGTCAGCCTTAAGTAAACAAGGCACATTGCTAATGATGCCCCAGGAGGAAATTCCACTAATCACCTTACCACCTGTTTGACTCAAAGATGTTTATAGTGCAGACATGTTGTATCAGATAAGACCAGCTGATGAGCTGCTCTTACAGGAACTGACAGTGAGGAATTGACAGCGTAGATACCTGACAGGAATCTGGTGGAGCTTCTCAGAAAGATTCAGCGAGTCAGGAATCATGATGTCAATGAACAAACCCACATTTGTAAAGTGATGACAACAATACTGGGCTGTTAAAAGGGACAGTAATAAGTAAGTGACAAACGGTTTCATCAAACAGTAGACAACATTTTATTGTGAAAAAAAAAACCCAAAACAACAACCATAGTATTAGACCTATTACTTCTTTACTCATTAATTATTACTATTATTACTATTATTATATTGTGATTGTATTGAGTAGGGCTGTCCAATAATATCGTCCGACCTGATGTTATCGATGTTACCATAATTATGTAATATCTCTACGAATCTATATGTTTTTTTTCCCTGTGAACATGATAACGCAATGCCTGGGTTTTGTCAAATGATGTGTGCCCAAAAATAGTTTTGGGGAAAAATGTCTGTATAGTAAAGGGAAGGTCACTAGATGGCAATGCACTTCATTTTATTACATTCCAATGCACAAACAACTATAAATGCTCACATTTACACAAACAACCAGTTATCTAATGGTTTTGGACCAGGGAAGCAGACCAATGTGGAGAATTAGTCAAAAAACAAAAAGGCCTGCACGTCCGCCAGAGCCCAGACACAAACGGCCGACCTTCCTTCCCTGGGCCAAAGAGCATCAACTTTTATAAACTCGCCAGCGCCCTGTCACTTACTCAGACGGTCAGGTCTGGTTCCTCAGCAGTACGGACCTGGTTTTGAAAAGTCTGCCCACATCTTCACACGATCGTCTCTTTCATTAGTTGTTGTCGCTATTAATTTGGAAAAGGCGCAGCGTGAGTACGGCACAGGAATGATCTGGAAATAGTTCCAGTTTGGGGGGTCTGTGGGTGCGATGCCCAAATACTCCATGCAAAAGTCTTAAGGTCAGCCTTAAGTAAACAAGGCACATTGCTAATGATGCCCCAGGAGGAAATTCCACTAATCACCTTACCACCTGTTTGACTCAAAGATGTTTATAGTGCAGACATGTTGTATCAGATAAGACCAGCTGATGAGCTGCTCTTACAGGAACTGACAGTGAGGAATTGACAGCGTAGATACCTGACAGGAATCTGGTGGAGCTTCTCAGAAAGATTCAGCGAGTCAGGAATCATGATGTCAATGAACAAACCCACATTTGTAAAGTGATGACAACAATACTGGGCTGTTAAAAGGGACAGTAATAAGTAAGTGACAAACGGTTTCATCAAACAGTAGACAACATTTTATTGTGAAAAAAAAAACCCAAAACAACAACCATAGTATTAGACCTATTACTTCTTTACTCATTAATTATTACTATTATTACTATTATTATATAATGATCTTATTGAGTAGGGCTGTCCAATAATATCGTCCGACCTGATGTTATCGATGTTACCATAATTATGTAATATCTCTACGAATCTATATGTTTTTTTTCCCTGTGAACATGATAACGCAATGCCTGGGTTTTGTCAAATGATCTGTGCCCTAAAAAAATAGTTTTGGGGATAAACAGCTGTATATGAAAGTGAAAATCACTAGATGGCAGCATTGCAGCTCATTTGATCTATTAGTCTATTTTAATAATAATGCCAGGAACTCATACAGTGGTTCGTACAGATAAATAAATACATATCACCAGGCCGAAATATCTGTATCAGTTGATATCGGAATTAAGTATCTGGACAATATCGGAGTATTAGATTTGTTTCCTTCTTTACTCACACACAACTTTTATCACAATATCCTAACAAACAACAGTAGAAATACACATGGATTCCAAGTCCGCACAGAATTTTGCTCCTCCTTCAACATGATGAGCTCAGTAAGTAGGAGTACAGTGAGGTCAGGTCTTTGTTAATAAAGATTTATTTTGTTGCTCCTGCAAAAGAGACAGAAAAGGGAAAGAAATGAAGTGATTCCATCTGATCTTCCTGTGTTCTGATCTAAAATGATTTGGAAAAAGATACATCACAGCAGCAGTTAATGACTTTCCAGCATTTAAAAAATGTAAAGTTTATTATTTATCTGAAGCTACTTGACTGTCTTTGATTTTCGTAGATGTTTCACCTCTCATATCTTTACAGACAGAGTACCAATCATTATTTTTTTAAGTATACAAACTAGTATTTCCATATCTAATTTAGAACTCACAACATATGTGGGACTTGGAAGTTAAATGACAGTGTAACATGTTGAAGTACCTGGCCAAATTCACTGAACAATAAAGAAAGTCTCAGCAAAATATGCAGCGTCATCTTCCATCCCTATTTCAGCAGCATAAACCATTGCACTTTGTTGAGGGGCTGCAGCAGCAGAATAACGGTTTTGGGGACGAGAGTCGTAGAGCACGGGCCTGTGGTCATCTCTGTCATCATCTGATACATACTGTGGGGTCTTCCTGTAGTTCCTGTTCCCTTGTTTAACATGCAGCGCTCCAGTGGACAGGACATGGTAGGTGTCCCTCAGGTCGTCATTCACGCTGTTGAACTCCAATACGCACTTCAGTGGGTTCAAGAGCAGGTTTTTGGCACATTTCTTGACCAATTCATGACCCGCAGTCAGAGCGACGAATAGTTTTCTCAGGGCTCTGTCCACGTCTTGGGAGACCTGCCCTTTGGAACTAATGGCCTCGACTAGTTTTTCCAGGTCCTGGACTCTGCCTGCCAGGCCACGGCATTTCGCTCTGTAGTGCTTTGCCTCAGGAGCCATCCAGGAGATGCCGCGGCATAAGCCCAAGATGTTTGCAATATTGTCCATGACAAGCCAACGACAGCAGTCGCCTGAAATGAAATCAAAGAAGAGGTTAAAGGCAATGATTGGGCAACACAAAGGAAGCTCTGTATAAACAGTTACATCATTTTACTACTGATGACATAACATAACTTTAAACACTGACATAAACTGACATAAACTGATGACATAACATAACTTTAAACACTAAAATTTGTCAGGCAGAATAATCTTTGAAGTTTAAGTAACCACTGTTTTGATACAAAGACAATGCACATACAGCAAGAAAAATTTCTCAGGCAGAATAATCTTTGAAGTTTAAGTGGTCAAGCGACAACCTTTGAAGTGTTCCTCAAAGCTAAATTAACCTCTTTTTTTTTAACCACGTTGTAAAATTTTATTTACAGAAACTAAAGGTTTTGTACCTGCACCCTCAAATCCTGTTGGTGGGAGATAAAACTGTTCACAGCACCACTTGCAGGAGGCAGTGGGTACTACAAGGTCATACGTTTAGTTTGTGATTCTGCATACATTGCAATGGTGTAATGATTTGCTTCTGTGTTGCATGTTTTGTAGTGGAATTAATTAAAGTCATGATGGATTTCAATCAGAGGGGGTGGAGCTTAAAAACAAAATAACTTCCTCTTCCCAAAAGTGACAGAGACAGAGGACCGGTTACATTCCACAGAAATAGTGTAGAGATAGAGCTGCTGTTTGTTTATCGTCTTGTGCACCTTATGGACTAATGTGAAAGTGAAAGTATTTTCTGTTGTCTGTGTGTATTACTGTTTTAAGTTGTTACAATTTGGATTAAAATCTTTCCTGGTAAAATGCTGAAACTATTTCCTATAACAACAAAACTGAAAACAGAAAAAGAAATGAAATTTTAAGGTAAAGTTTCACAGAGTTTAAAATAAATTTGCAGAAAAACAATTTCATTTTATAGGTGAGTGTTTTACAATAACAAAATTACATTTTCATGTATTTTTTAGAATGCAATGTTAAACAGGACATTCAGAAATCTGACGTTTTAAATAACGTGATTCAAGTCAAGTGGTGTTGTTTTTTTAAAATTTTTTTAAATTGTTTTTAAATTATTTTAGCTATAATTTGAAGAATTTTAGTGGATCAACTACTAGTTTAAGTTTTATTAAAGTTTTATTCTCGAGGAGAAAATTTTAATACCATTTTTTAAGAGTAATTGTATCTTCAGTTAGCCCATTATTCCAATTTATTGGCTTAAAAAATTTCAAAAAATAAAACAAAATTACCTTAAGATGAATCAGAATAGTCGTCCTCGTGCTGCGCAGTCTAAAGAGAAAGTGTGGCAGTGATTTTATTCACCTGTGTCTGTGGTACTTCCCTGTGGGAGAGTCGTCATGACAACTGGTGACATAAGCTAGTTAGTCATTCTGATGTGAATGATTGTTCTCAAAATGTAAGATGTAAAACTATTTTTAATACATATGTCAAAGATAAAAGATAAACCCTTCAGGAGATTGAACAATATTACAAAGAAGGTGAAGAACCGTGTTAAAATAAACCATCAATTATCCCCACACACGCAGAGTCGTGGGCGGGTCCCCCTTCAAAGGGTGTGGAGCTTTTGTTGTGAGGACAAAGTACGTAAAAGTAAATAAATCTCGATTGTAAATATTTTTTATATTATTACTTGCGAAAGGATACAGATTTATTTAGAAATCGCACTGAATTTATAGAACGAGTATCAACATAAGGCGACTGGGCTGTCTTGGTTCCTTAATTAAGATTTTTCAGTAACGGTTCTCATTATGTGGTATTCATTTCTGTAACTGATTTTGTGTAACCTCGTTGTATCGCAGTTTGGCTGTCACGCACTCAGTCGATCAATACAGTGTAGATTTAATAATATAAATGTATTCTTGTATTGCGGGATTTTGTGGTATATAAGAATTTTTTTTAAATTTCAATATTTTGATTATTTTTGTGATTAAAAGCATTTTCTAGCCTAAAATAGTACAATTTTTTTTTTAAAGGGACGAATAGTGGGTTAGAAGTTTTATTAAAAATTTGTTAAAATCCACAGCTAATGTAAATATCTATAAGCTGCTAAGATTTAACATTCCTTTATCTTTCTATTCAAAATACCAGCACTGTTGATCTGCAATGTTTAAGAGCACAATGAAACAAGTACTAGCTGGATCGAAGCCCATTGGATCTCAATGTGGTCCTGATGATGTCACCCTCCCACCCATAATGCCCCAGCTCCCTGTGGTCGGACATCACTGGGGTCCTGTCTGTCAGCAGCGTGGCTTCTCTTCCTCAGTGGTCGTCTTTGTGACAAAGAGCCGTTTGAGGAAGAGGAGCTGCAGGTAGCCTGAGGTGACGATGAGGAGGCTGAGGGCAGTGGACCACCAGGTGATGTACTGGGAGTTGGACAGCAGCAGGAAGTAGTCAACGCTCTTACGCATACGGCCAAAGCTGTAGTAGCGGAACATGTGAAAGACCCGGTTCTCCAATATGTAAGTCGCATCCTGGCACAAAAAAACAAAACAAAAACAAAAAGACTGCAAATTAAAGTGCAACAAAAAATGTATATTGTTATTTTTAGGCATACTGTACAAGTTACCTTGCTGCATTTAGCTATGCTAACTGCATAGCTCAGTGCTAACAAGCTACCAAGTGTGCGGCTGTATGTGCATTTTTGATCACACTTTTAGTCCAATTCCATGCCTTATTTTTACCCCTCCTCCTTTAGTACCCCTCCCACCCCAATTTGTACCAACAAATCTTAAAACCAATCGTAAAAGCTAGTATCTTGAGAGCTCCTTTACAGATGCTAACGGTGCTACACAACATTATCTGTCTTAGCTCCATGGTAATATACAACACACAGCATAATATCTTATGTAAACAATCTTCTCGACATGAGGTTAAAGTTAGTTATTACAGTGACACAGATGGCTGAGCTGGAGGGACAGAGATCTACATTTCCACTACTCTCTAAGTAATTTAACTAAATGATATACTGCTCGTTACCGCTATAATGGACAGAGTGTTGTTCAGGTCTTTGCGTATTTCCTCTTTTTTGTTCTTTTCCTCTTCTTTGATCTTAGAAGGGTTCTGTTGGTTGCCGTAGTAAACACCAAAGCTGAGGAACACCTGCATGATACCAAAGCGGTTGTGGAAGTTGCTGAAGCACATTTGATAGAAACCTGGAAGAAAAAAAATATTCACAGTATTGATATGAACAGTTGGAGGACCCCCAGTCTCTCTACCCTGCCACCATCATGGACACATGCTATCGGGGACATTTTCTACAAGTCTTACATTAAATTCTCAGGAAGAAAAAATGTGCACAATCAAACAAACATGTATGGGAATGTAACAAACATTTTCAAAACCACAGGACACAGCTATAAACGTGAGACTACATCTCTACCCTTCAGTGGCCACTTCCTTGGTATTACCTGTTATGACATTAACTTAGTTGCACAATTAGATTAGAAATTTAGCAAAGGAGGTGTAGGTATGTCAATTAATTCACATACAAAATGAATTCACTACAAAAACAGAATACCAATCTTTCTCTCTCATGTTCTTTTTCTTTTTTAATCTATTATATTGTGAGAGGGAGGCACCTGTTTCCTTCGCCTCAAAGTTGATCTGTCCCTGAGCGTCATCAACAGTAGATATCACCAGACCTCCTGGCGCATTGACCGTGACAGACAGGTGTCTGTCATGGCCAACGCCTGTCACCCACTGGACCTAGGAACAGAAAAAACAACAGTAGCCGTCAGTTGGTTTTTTACTTTGTTGAAAGGACACACCTATACAGAAAAACCGATTGTTTCACAGTGGCTACACAAGATTCTGAGACCTGTCTGATACATATATTCTGCCCCCTAGTGGATTAGGGTTATATAAT